AACGAGCGTACCGATGGGTCAGCCGAATTTCCAACCAACCATAGATGAATGGGGTTCTCATCCTCTCCCCTGACAAATAGTTTCATAGTTTCATAGTTGGACCTAAGGGGCTGATCCCCCGAGTCCCGTAGACCTGTATAAATCCAGACTCCTCTGGATTGATCCTGGAGTCCATGAAGTAAAACACATGCGAGAGGAGGATTCCCCACATCACCGGGACATTGTAGGAGCAGAGGAGCTTGAACACCGGGAGCAGAGTCCCCTGTCCGTGGTCCTGAGCCTGGAAGGGTTTCATGTCACAAGTGGGACAAACCAAGAGATCAGACAGGTTGTAATGACAGGCCCCGAAACCGCGGGGCCTGTTTCTCAGTGGAGGATGAGATGGCACTATACCAACATACATTGCTACCGTGCATGGGGCAGCAGCACAGTGTTTATGCCCCTGCTTCCCTACCAGCCTGCCCTCTGCGACGCCAGGTACTCAGGCCTGGTTGGATATCTCCTGTCCTCAGCAGCAGGTGTAAGGAGTCTCCAACCACCTGTTTTCTGTGCAGATGGACTGATTAGAAATCAGCCCCATGCTTTCTTCATAGGGCAGGGGGATCTGATGGGACACTGAAGCCCGAGCTGAGTCTTACTGCCTCTCTGGGAGAGGGCTGGGGAGAGCGTCTGGCAAGGATACGGGCGCAGCGGTATCGCAGAGCTGGAATTCGCCCGCCTTGCTGGAGGGCACCAAGGGTGTCAGAGCCCAGTGCAATGCAGGCAGGTCGGGTCTGAGTAAAGGGGAAGAGGATAAAATCCTGGAAAATGTTGCTGTGATCGGCCCTGGGAAGGTGGTGGTTGATTTAGCGGAGGCTCCCAAAGAGTTGGGCACACCCTGGGGACAACACACAAGACTCCCAGAAGGGTGGGTGGGGAGCCTCAACCCGCAACCCCTCCTGGCCAAGGATCAGATGTGCTCCACGTGCCGTCTGAAGCGAGCTCTTCTCCTCCCTCCCTGCTGGAGGATACCGATGAGTTTTCAGAGAGATTGGCTTTACATGCCCAGCAAGATCCATGGGCAGAGTCTCCCCCAGCCCAGGTGGGGCAGGCTCTGCATGGCCAGCCAACACGTCCCTCACCTCGGAGTCCCCTGAGGTGTGACTGGGTCCAACCAAATGGGGCTAGGGAGGGCAGTCCCCTGTAGCCATGTGTGAGATAGAGATGGGAAAGACAACAACTCAGCCACCCCACTTCCAAGGCTCTCAGACCAGTGCACACATCAACGAGTTCATGCCAGATGGGTAAACCAAGGCATGGAGAAGATAAGTGACTTGCCTGAGGTTATGGGAGTCTGTTGGTGTCAGAGATGGTTTTATAACCCCAGGTGCCTTACTGCAAATCTAACTCCTAGACTGAACCCCCCCTCCTCCGATCCACCATCAAATGCCTGGAGAAGCAGAGGGCATTTTGGAAAGGGGCAACACAAGCAGAACTAAGCAGCTGCAGTAAAATCTGCGTATCCTGGTGTCCACAGTAAAGGCAGGTAGAATACCAGGCAGGTCCTACATGGTGCCAACATTTGCACAAACTTCTCTAGACATGTGTAGATGCTAAAAAACCCAGCCCTGCAGTGACCGTTTGGTTGCCCAAGGCAGCTAGAAACACCAGGCTGGCTCTGTCCCTGGCTGACGAGTCTTCCCCTAGCCAGGGGGAGGCAGCAGCCCGTGGAGGTCAGGGATCACAGATCCTTGGGATTCACCCCTTCCTCCATGCCCCCAGGTTGATCCCACAGGTTGATTCTTCCGTGTGGCATGTCTGGTAATTAGCCTTACGCTGTTATTTGCAGCCCAGGCTAATCCCTGTGGGCTAGCTTATCTAACACTGTATAGTTTGTGGCTATTTTTCTCCAGTGACGTTCAGGAGAAGCTCAGTCCCCACAACATGGCCTGTCCATGATGTGCATGTCTGCTCCCCATCAGTCTCCTGGCACCGCTGCTTGACCACAACAATCGCGTCCCTAGCAGCACGAGACAGCCCCAGCGCTGTGCTCACTGCAGCTCCCCAGCCCTTCAGCACACCACCTGGTGACTCCAGCTCCTCAGACCTGTCTCGGGGACAGGCCGGATGCAGCAAATTTTTCAGGATAAAGACTCACTCGACAGCACCGGCTATTCAAAAGCTCTGGGTTGAATGTGCAAAACCAAATGAGAATTGGCCTCACTGTGAACAAGGGAGAAGGAGCCGGTAATGATGTGCTTGTGACCTGCTCTGACGAGGTCACTTTCCTGCCCACAGCAAGGACTGTAGAAGTGGTCTGGGATCAGCTGCTGGCGCTGGGCCAGCACGAGGGAGACTGGGACCATTTGCAAAATCAGAAGGACCCTCCCATGTGCTCTCACCACCCCAGGCCCTCCAAAGCCAGGAGTGCTGAGGGCTGGTGCTCCCTTACCATGCTCCCCCCATTTTGTTGTGTGGGTCTCCCCACTACACTGCCCCACAGCACAGGGGCCATGGTCCTGCCCAGTTGCAGGCTCCCTGGGCCCTGTCAACTGCTCTGTGCCACCCTCAGCGGTAAGGGCAAGCAGTGGAAGCTGGAAGAGGGAGCCCAGAGACCCTGGCAGCAGGGAGCAATGGGGGGCAGGAGCCCAGAGGCCACAAGTGAAACCTTTAGGGGCCATATGTGGCCCATGGGATGCCTTAGGCTAAGACATCAGGTCCCAGCAGACAGAAATTTGCTACTATCTGTCCTCTGCCAATATTTTGGAGTGGTTGATAACCCAAAATGCACTGGGCAGGAGATGGGCCCGACCTGGGCAGTCAAGGCTAAGAGAATCTGGGTATAGAGTTATCAACCACTGGAAAATATTGGCAGAGGACAGATAGTAGCAAACTTCTGTCTACCTGCAAGTTCAAATGAACACTAAACCTTCTGCACAGCCAGTGCTGGGACGAAGGGCTGGGCTGGCGCTCCAAACCAGCAAGACTTCCTCTGGAGAAGGACTCCAGAAGGCCGTGCTGTACCGAGACTGTGAGGGGGCGAAGGCGAGAACAAGCTAAATGGTATTAGCAGGAGACAGTAGGAGCATTTCAAGCTGATAACATGGCTCAGATGGTAGGGGGAAGTCCACGACTCCTGGTAATTAGGACAGAGATGAAACCAGCCCCTTCCAAGACAACGAGGGAAACAACTTGTGTCTGTGTTAATGCTGGCGATGCACGAATCCAGCCTTGGAGCCCAGAGCACTTCCTAGCTGGCTGATAGCAATACTCCCCACCAAGTCCAGACAAGCAGTGAAAGAGGAGACTTTATCCCACTGAAATCCCAGAGGGAAATTCTAGGAAGGTGGGAAGTAACACAAGGCTGGTCATGCTGAGGCCTGTGGCCAGGCATGGCTGGCCAGGGGAGCGGTGGCAATGCTGGAGAAGGGGATGCTACAGCAGACCCTGCATCCCTGCCTGTGGGCTCCCCCATGCTCGGGGACACACACAGCTCTATGCACCGTACCCAGAAGAGCATCGTACTCTGAGTCCCAGAGAACTGGATTTACGAGGAACTGGGGATTACAGCGCTACAGTCTGACCGGCCAAAAATTGTTAAAAATCAAAATATCAGGACCTCAAATCCAGCTTAAGAGTCAAACCAATCAGCCAAACCATCTGCCTTGGGACTGAAGATAAAGCTACTTTTATTGTTTCCATAAGCTGCTAAGCAGCTTTCCAGCAAGAAGAAACCCTTCGGCTGGGACATTTGATGCTATAGGATGACACCCTTTCCAGGCTGACTGAACCAGGGGAGAGCCTGGAGACCCGGAGACCTCCTAAGGAAAAGGGGGCAGGGGACAGTACAATGAAGGGATGGACACTGTAGAGTATGCCGGGGGGCGGGGTGGGGGGCGCAGCAGCCATGGGGTAGAAAATATCCCAGTACAACTGGCTGATGAGACCAGGGTACATCCATGATATGTCCAGGTGAGAGTGCACGTGCTCTCTTGCTGGATGGCTCTCAGGCTCCTGGGTATATGTGGTGTCCTCTCTCTGGATGCATCTGAAATCCTGCCTGCTCACCCACTGAAACCTCCCAGCTGTTCCCCGTTGGCCAACTTGATTTGCAAACAGGACTGGTCTAGATAGTTTCTTCAAGCAAATGGGTCCGAGAGGCTACAGTCCTCCACATGCAAGGTCTGAAGGAGCCCCCAGCAACCAGCAGGAACCAGCTGAGACCAGAGGGAAGAGTCTTAACAGTGTCCACTAGCACTTCCATTAGGAAGGATGGTGTTGGTTCCTCGGGCAGTATGCCGTGCTGCCCGCAGATACCTGGCCTGAGCCCATCTTGGTAGGAAAGCATGGCTCCTGCAATGGCTCTGGCCAACAGGACCTTTCAGCTGAAAGAGCTTGGTGCAGGGGGATGGAGAGCCAGGGACTGAGAGGGAAGGCTCCCAGCTTCTCTGACTCACCACGTCACTGGGCACGGTCTTCACCTTCCCATTCCCTCAATCCTCTCATCTGCAAACCGGGAACAAAAATAACGATGCGCCTCTGGCAAAACACGGGGGGAGCCTCCAAACTTCATTCAAGGGAATGTGGCAGTGCCCCAGGGACAGGGACGGGCAAGGGACAGGACGCTAGAGCAGGAACAAAGGGGTGGGGAGAGAGCGTGAGGGCTTATCTGATTGCATAGCCCGTGGCGGCGCTCCAGCCGCTGTGGATAACTGATCCCGCAAAGGCTGACATCTCCTACGCAGGAAGCCCATGGACAGGGAGGGAATCACAGCACAACCTCCCCTCTGAGATAATCCACATGACTTTGGAGGGGCTGAATGCCTGCAAGCTCCCAGGCAGCAGCTGGTAACTGGAGATGCCCTTGCCCGTGTCCAGGTGACCTTCTCCCACAGATATTATTAGCCTACTGACAGCAGCAGGGCTGGCACTCCAGCTTCCCAGGGGAGCGTCTCTCTCTTCTGATGCTGAGCCATGGAGGGCCCCCCAAGGGAGCACACTGTCTGAAAAAAATCTGCCCCGAGCCTCCCATTTTGTAGGGGAGGCCGGCTCCTCCCGCCGAAGGTGACAAGGAGACAGCAGCCGATAGCCATAACCCCGCAAATGATCCCTGCCTACGTGCCTTGCCGTGAATCCCCTGAACAAAGCCCTCGTGCCAAGAGTCAGGCAGGGGAACTACAGTTCGCTCAGTGCTTTGGCCCACATCCTGATGCCACAACATTTCACAGGAGTTTTGCTCTTGGGACTCCTCCCTTGAGCGTATGTAAGACGCTGGCTGGTTTCCTGAGCTCCTAGAACAGCTTCACCGGGACAGATTCTCTCCTGAGGGACTAGGAAGCCCCCCAGCTCTCTCATTAGCATCCTGTCATATAGAAAAGCACATGAAAAACAAGGTATCAGCAACAGGCATGCTCCTCTAAGCCTCAAAGGACCCCCATCCCCATCCCAATCTGCTCCAGCTTTCTTGAAAGCCTTCTCTAGAAGGTTTGATCTCAGTGAGGAGCTCGTCTCCCTGCTTCCGAAGCAGAGATCTCATCATGTTTCCTTGCTGCTGCTAATGGGATTCGCTCCTCCTACACAGCGCTGACACGCATGGGGGAGAGGACGCTGGTTTGAAGAGCTCGAGGAAGCCCTGCAGAGCACAGAGCAGTCCTGTGAGCACCAACTCTGGGCACCTTCTCTACTCGCTGCCCTGCACATAGTCCAGGATTTGTCTACACCACAGCCCTCAGCCCTAAACCTGGGCACCAGAAGCTGTCTCGCTGGGGCAGCCCGGAGCTCCAGGTGAGTTGACGTACTCTGATGAGCTGGGTAACTCAGGGAGGAGCAGCAAAATTAGTTTGCACGGGGCTTTGTGCTGCCCGGGCTAGACAGCAGCCAGTACCTGAGCCAGCTGGTTTAGAGCCAGCTCAGGTGTGTCTGCGGCACAGGAGGAAAGCCATGTTCATGTCCAGGTGGCTGCCTTGTGCTTCACCCTCACTGCAATGCCTGAGGCTCCCGGGCCCGGTTCAGGGGAGGATCGAAGGGACCCTGAACAGGTGTATCTGTTGCCTCCCAGCTACCTCCTGATGGGATGTCATAGATCTCATAGATTTTTAGGGGCGGAAAGGACCTCAGTAGATCATCGGGTCCGACCCCCTGCCCTCGGCAGGAAAGAGGGCTCGGGTTAGATGACCCCAGCCAGGTGCTTGTCCAGTCTTAAAGACCCCCAAGGTAGGGGGGAGCGCCACCTCCCTTGGAAGCCCATTCCAGAGACATTAGGGGCTAGAAGGGACCTCACAAGATCAAGTCCAGCCCCTTGCCATAGGCAGGAAGTCTGCTGGGGTCCAGTGATCCCAGCCAGATAAATCCAGACACCTTTTGAATGAGTCCAGAGTAAGTATTTGCTCCTCCTCTGCGGGGAGTCTGTTCCAGACCCTGGACACTCAGACTGTAAAGAAGTTTTTCCTTATGTCCCATCTAAATCGGCCTTCCAGGAGTTTGTGGCCATTAGACCTTGTTATCCCTTGGGGAGCCGTGGTGAACAACTCTTTCTCCGAGGTCCTGATGCACCCCCTTATGTACTTGTAGGGTGCCCCCAAGCCCCCCCTGAGCCTTCTCTTCCCCAGGCTGAAGAGTCCCAAGTCCCTTAGCCTCTCCTTGCAAGGCTTGTCCTCTTGGCATCTTGGCCTTTGATCATGGGAAATGCACATCTTTAAGGAGGACTCTAAGGAAGAAGCAGCTAGCTTTTCAAGGCAGTCCTTGAGAGGCCCAAGGAAGGAAAATGGCAGGAAAAGCCGCTAACAGGTGTCAGGAGGCACGAGTTAAGTTCTGCACGGGTCCTGTCGGGGTGTCCATTACATCCATCAAGACTCCCCAGGCTCTTAAGCCATCAGAGAGGATATGCCCGGGAGTGTAATTACACCTGGGTATGTATGTACTTCCAAGCTAGTGTCGCTTACATAAGAAGGCTAAATTCAACCATCTTAGATTCCTAATTCACCTTGGAGTGTGGTCTGGCCCAGACACAGAGAGCAATGCTGTGCCAGAATTGATACCTGACCCCAGCCCTACCACCGGACTGAGACATGGGAATGTCTCTCGGGTCAGCCCGCCCCTCCCCACCAGCCTGGGGAGCTTCCCTGAGACAGACGGTCCAGGCTTCACCTAAGTGTCTGGAGCCGTGGGGGTCTGCTCCACTTCCTGTGGGACAGTAATGCACTGAAAACCCACTGGTGCCTCTATTTCTGTAACCGCTGCCATTGGACCCTTCTGTCTGAGTCACAAAGGAGGAGGAGGAGGAGGAAGAGGAGGACCCATCCACCTTTTGTAGCAACAGATTTGCAGGGACTCTGGAACAGAATTGCACTTAGGCACCTAAGTCCACTTACATGCCTAACAGGTGGAGTAGGATCTGGCCTGTGGTGCTTTTCATAAAGAACCTCAGTTCTCATTAACGAAGTGAGTTTCTAGCCCTTGTGTTTGCCAGGGAAAGATCAGCAAGGAGACCCCATGAGGTCTGAAAGTGGAGAAGCCAGAGGGGACATTGAAAAGTCCCTAAAATATATCATATTTGCTCAGAATTTTCTCATTTTTTTTAACTGATCACATTCATCGGGAAAGCCTGACTCCTGAGGTTTAAACTACTGAGGTTGGCAACGTTTGCATCCCTCAGTGAAGCTGGGCACAGCGTTACCCTGATTGTGACTTCTGCGTGTGCCCAGGCATAGCCCATGGTGCTAGGGGCTATACAAGTACAAAACAAAGACCCTCTCCCCCCAGGAGCTTATGGTTCAAGTGAAGGAGTTTTCCTGATCTCCCGTTCCTCAGCATCATCCTATTCTCCCTAGCTGCGCTCCGCCATGCTCTGTGCCCCCGCCCTTTGCACAAATAGACCTGCAAGCTGCCCCCCCGGGGGAGCCAGGCAGCTGGAGGGAGGTGTCGGGCTCCTTGGGTAAGCGCCGCTTTGTTTTTCTGTCCCACATTAAAGAAAACTTGTGGCCAGTCTCCCCGTCCTCTGCCACTTCTCAGGCCTTTTGGAGTGGGTTTGCAGCCCAGAGACAGATGCAATGAATTGGTTTCTTACTCCACAGCCACCCCCAGAGCCGCTCTCTGCTGCCCTTACTCCCACCAGAGCTCGCCCAGCTTCCACAGCCCAACAGCTCGCAGCCACCTGCCACCTCGTGAGCTAGGCAGGAATGGCAGAGGGGGCTTAATTATTAAGGTTTCTAATTAGACACAGCATAACAGAGCAGGAGAGGAGAGCGTCTGCTCCTCTCACCCTCCTCAGCTTTGGACACCCTCACCATCTGAGCAGGAACATTGATCATTCACCCCTTCCCTTCTGTACACGTGGAAACACCCCCTGTCCTGTCCGTGGGAGTCCAGAAATGGGTGTTTAATGCATTCATGAACCATATCCTGCCAAGATTCACACCCTGGGTAACCCTAACAAATGCAGAGAGCCTATGCAGGATGGGACCCCAGGGGCATGATGAGTGGTCTGCAAAGCAAGCCGACTGAAAGGGGAAGGCTGTGTTTAGGTCCAGGGTCATTTCTACTCAAGAGGGCCTCTCCCGGTGGCTGAGCCCTGCAGGGGTGAACATTGCCTTTCCGAACCAAAGGGCCAGCATTGGTGCGTAGCCAGTGATAAGGCACAAACGCGCTCCTAGGCTCCCCTAGACCTAAAAATCCAAGAGGGAAAGAAAATGCCTCCTGCATTCCCAGCCAAGAGGTGAAGGCGTGGGATCTGCGATTGACTCCTGATGTGACGCCATTGATTTCGATGAGAACAGGCTCAGGCCCCATGTTAGCAGACAAGGGAAAAGCACCTGATTCCCAAGCCCTCTCTGCTTCTGCTGCAAAATGAATGCACTGGCTGCTCCGGACTGCGGAGAGCACGCGCCGGCCTGCTGCCGCGGCTGCCTTTGCAATCGATTCTGCTGGTGTCATCTGTAGCGTGACGTGACGAGCCTGATAAACACCCTGGGAGGAAAAGGAGGGTGAGCGGGTTGCATTCGGCCTTTTCCTATACGTACCCTGCCGGGTCTCCGTGGGGAAGGAGAGATGGCACATGGTTGCATTTAACTCACAAGGACGGTCTTTACTCAGCTGGTCAGACACACAGAGAGGACCAGGCCTGTGGGCTGTGGTTCCAGATGGATGGGCATAGCCTGCATACACAGCTGGTCCCTACAGAGTCTCCCTACAGTCCCCAAGCAGGAGGGAGAGGGCATGGCCAGCATGCTGTCATGATCTGGCTAATCTCCGCTCCCAGCAGGCTGGAGGACGAGGAAGAAAGGAAGGGGGAGAGTGGGGAGGTCAGGAGAAGCCCTGCTTATTTCCATAGACACAAGGGGCAAGGACAGAGCAGCAAACAGGACGTCTACAGAAGCTGGAGCCCCTTCAGGCCCGTGCTGCCTGGTTCGGGCACTGCCACCCTGCAGTGGTGGAAGAATTTGTTCCCCCTCCAGCACAGCAGGGCAGCAGGGACATTTTCTCTTCCTGTTGGTAATACAAGCATCATCCTTCCCACACGCTACCGGGCCCGTTCAGAGGAGGTCTGGTGCAGTGGGGAGCGTCCCTTCTCCCTCTGACATACGCCAGAAAAACTGACCAAGTGTTTGCTCCTCTGGGACATCTCTGCAGGATCCTCTTCAGCCCTTGCACCTGCCAGCATGGTCCAGGCATGTCCTCTGAACTGCCTCCTCCTGCCCTCCCCAGCAGAGACGCCAGGTCCTGGGGTTTCTCCCGTCGGCCGCCTGCCACTCCTGTAAGCTCTCGGCTCTTTTATTAACTCCGAACTCCTCTTTCTCGAAGACCCTGCTGGGAAATAAAAATCTTTGATGAAACAGATTGGCTCCAGCTGACAGCGGGACGCAGCGGCTGGGATAAACTCTCATGCTGAGGACCAAATCCATCTCTGGGGGAATGTGATGGAGGCCTGTAGGCTAGTACCGGGGTGGAATCTGGTTTGGAGGGAATGGGATAGCTCTGCAGTCTCCACCACTGTGATACACACGGGCATTGGCGGGACACGGGGATGTCCCTGAGCAGCTTTGCCCCGTTACGGGAGAGGGAATGAAACCGTTGGTGTTGCAGTTTCATTCTGACGCGGGAGGTAAATGAATGCTTGAAACAGCAAGGTTTCCCACCGGATAAACAGTCTGCTTTCCTATCCACTTGCAGGTGGCTGTCGTGATGTCTACCCCTTTCCGCCTCTGGGACACTGGCCTGGTACACCATGTGAGCACAGCACCTACGGCCAGCGGGAGGATTTTGGAGAGGCTTGTCTTGCAAGAAGCACCTTTATTAAAGAGAGGGCAACCAAGTCCTGCTCTTAGTAGCAGTCCTCCTTCAGAAATGATGACAACCCCAGGTCCTTGTTAGCCTGGAGGGTTCAGATTAGCTTCACGCTCCCCCTGGCCTGGCAGTAGCTGCTCCAGCTTCCAACAGTGCAGCTCCGGACTAAAGTCAGGCAAGAAGTACACCAAAACCAAGGCTGCAGGTTGCACTTGGGCTGCCCCAGTCCAGAGGCAAGTGAACCTAATACAGAGAGAACCAGTGAGTCCCCCAGGTGGGGACCAGGCCTTGAGCCTTGGGGTCACTGGCAAGGCACTGAGGTCACGTTCCCTCGAGCAGTGCCAGGTTACAAGCAGTGGGGAGTGCCACTCCTGATACCCCGTTGCCTGGGCTGTGCCTGCCAAAAGAAAGGCAAGGCCATGATGTTTCGGTCCAGCCTGGTTTCCAGTGACCTCCTGCAGCACAAGCCCGAGGCTGCCCTGTTGCTAATTCTGCTTTGGTCTCAGTGCCCCGCGGCAGGACGCCCGGTGCCAAAGATACCTTGGCCGTGGTTGCCCACTGACACCTGACCTCCACCTCCAGCTACAACCCCAGACAAAAATAAACCGGGAAAGGCAAGGACAACGACAGGCCATGCCGAGCCCATTGTCCCAGAGACAATGCTAGCTCTGAATGAGGGGCTGGTGAGGAATCCAGATAACCCCTCCATGTACTGCCGGGCCCCTCCAGCCTTCTCCAGCAGTGAAATCCTGGCTCTCCAAGGCAGAGAGAGAGGAGTCCACAGCTCTCCCCATACTCGCTGGCCAGGTTGGACAATGTTTTCCCACTCAATCTTTTTTTCTTTCTCAGCACAAAATTGGGATTTGACGGCGTGAAAAGATGTGTGTCCCTTGACATTTTTCAGGTTTCTTTAGAAAAGTAAAAATTGCCTGAAAAAAATACGGTCCATGTTCAATGATCTTTTTTTTCTGCCGTGTTTTGCACAAAAATTTGGGGATTTCATTCCTGAAAGCTGAAACAATTAAAGTTCTTGGGTTTTTAAAGAAAAGCATTGAACTTTTCAACTGAAAATGTCTAACGTTTTTTAAAGGTCCCGCAGGAGGAAAGAAAAGCTCTGTTTCCATGCAAGGTAATGCTGCAAACAGCAGCCAGGTTTCCACAATTGCTACCAGGCTGATGGGGCATTAGGAATACATGGGATGGATGGTGGACGGGGTAGAGGGGAGGCCAGAGTGTGGTAGAGATGATGATGTACTCATGGGGAAAGAAGAGTATATAAATTAGGCATTTCCAATGGATCTGCATCCTCTTATACCAACTAAGGACCTGGGTTAGTGGGCAGGTAGCAGGTTTCCCAGTGAAGAAAATTAGGAACCACTTCCTCCAAGCTGGAAGGGCAGGAGTGACTCTGCCGTCTCTGTTCATGACAACAGCTTGTTCCTGGGAAGAAGGTGAATTCTCTGAGCTCCTCCGGTAAAGTGAACTTCTTCCCTCAATCAATGTCCCCATCCCAAAATGAGAGCTGAGACACGCAGCAAAAGCCCTGGAGGCAGGTCACCATCTCAGTGTTGTAATTAAGGAGGGAGAGGGGAGATCCGTGCATGGCACAGGTGCGGTTATCCCACCAGGCCAGGAAAGCAGCACAGAGATGTGATGCCCTCCTTCCCTGCACCTGCCCCACCACCTGCCCCAATGCACCTCACTCCCAACAGCAGCTCAGTGAGTCCCGGGTCGCCCTGACCAACTATCCCTGCAATCAGTGCCGCAATCCCCGGGGGGTCAGGACACGCATACAGCAGGAGAGCCACCACCTTGGATCCAGTGCTTGAGCCTCAGGCTCCACCTGCAAATGCCAGTTCATTGACCCGCTGGCCAGTGTGGGTCCTATGGTACCCTGGGCATTTGCACCCTTGTACCTTTTTGTTTTGTCAAAACCTGCTCATCCCGTTCCAGATTGCTCCTGCTGTTTTAGTGACGTCAGCAGCTTTCCCACGGGGGAGTCGTTCTCTGAAGACTGAGATGCAAGTCCAGCCCCGAGCTTAGCGCAAGCACTGACGCCACGTGGGAAACAGGGCAAGGGCCAGCCCCCTGCTCCCGCAGCGCCGCATCCCCTGCCTGGTGCCCTTCTGCGAGGAGAACCCCACTCTGAACCGAGCGTGGCAACAGCTGAGAAACACCCGCCGCCTGGGGAGGGGAGCTCCCATCAGCACAAGCCTGATGCGGGCAAGGCAGCAACAGCCATCCAGACCAAGCTCATGAGTCGCTGAGCCAGCGGCGACAGCTGCATGACTTGGTGCCACGTGGGTACGGCGGCCAGCTGCCCTGAGCTGCAGAGAGCACAGGATGTATCAGAGGTTAGATGTGCCAGCAAGCATGCCCACATACATGTACACATGGACAGTCTCTCAGACCTTCCCCCTTCCCCCGGTGGTGGTGCTGGGGTATACATGTGCCCCCCGCCAGCCTTTGGAGAACCCCACACTGAACCAGTCTCCCCTGACCGGAGGTATGTGGCATGATACAAGCTGGGGACCAGCAAAGGTGAGAGGCAAGTACAGACTTAGCCTTATGGTGAGACCCAGTTGCCCCAGTCCGGCCAAGCCCCTCCACTTTCTCTCTCTCCTCCTGGGTCCTGGATTTCTTCCCACCTCCCCAGCCCATACCTGGGCCTCTTGCATGAAGACACCAAGATTTCATGTTCTATTTTTATTCCCCCGGTTCCTCAGGAAAGGCAGAGCTGACACTGGCTTCGTCAAAAAATGCATTTTTCTCATTGTGTGGGAAAAGATGCATGGGTTTTTCTCCCCCCCGCCCCCCCCTTAACTTGGAGATCTACCAAAGCAAACAACTGTGGCTCATTGGAAACTCAGATGATTCACCAGTCCCATGGGCAGATGGCACCAGGGTCTCCCATTCTGTAGCTCCTGGCAGAGGAAAAATTCCCCTTTTCGGGGCATTCAAATAAGCAGACAGTGCTCTCTTCATGGAGGGCTCTTATTTCCATAGCAGGCATCGCTTTGAGACTTGTTCAGTCTGCATGGCCCCCTGCTTTGCCTGGGAATCCTTCGAGAGCCGTGTGCCAAGAGGGTCACTAGGCCTCCAAACACGCAAAGGTGCACAGCAGTGAAAGGTCATTGCTGCTTCAGGCTTGCCTCATGGGCCGCAGCCTGAGCAGTTCCCTTTTGCCCAGCTATAACTCAGGTTACTCTCCCTGTCAAAAGCAGCTGAGGATCTTTGAGGTCCCCTGGCCTGAAACCCTGCAGGATCAGTGCCACTACGCCATGCCTGCTCTGCTCCTTTCCCATTCCATCCCATTCAGCTGGTGTGCTGCGTCGCGGTCGTATCTATTGTGTATCCTGCCTGAACCTGGCTGGTTTCTGATGTGCACTCAGTGCCTGCTTGGCGTATTTTCTGCTTGCCTGGTCTGAGATCGAAGGAGGGAACAAAGGTGACGGCTCCATGTCCCCACCACCTGCATCCCACCCGCTTAGCGTGGCAGGCAGACATGCTGCGACATGCACTGTGCAGCCCTTTCTGCCACTGTGCAGGGGACCAGCTCAGCACCTGATTATGGGGGTGTCGGGCCCAGAATTGCTCCCTGTTCTGGTCCCACTGCTGGAGGGAAGACTGTGGTGGACCTTGACACGTGGGCAAGATGCTGCTGACCTTCAGCACCATCATCTCAGCCTCTACCTGATGGAGCTAACCACCGCATTGGGTTGCTCTCATGCTATGGTGCCCACATCAGGTCACGTCTCCTGCTGCAGAGGGGGCACCGAGGGTTACTTATAATGTGTCATTGCAAGGCCAAGAACGGGCTCCCTCCGCAGTGCTTGAATGTGGACTGGTTCTTCCTTAGTTGGCTCTTTTCAGTCCACCGCTGGACTGACGGAGGCCCTCCCCTCCTACGGCCCCTCCAAGTTGTCTTGGACCTGTTGCTTCAGCTGAGGCCTCGGTAGCCAGCTCACAACTCTGGGTTGTGAGAAGAAACACCCAGGGCAAGGGGGTCCTCAAGGAGCAATAGTCTCAAGTTGCAGCAAGGGAAGTTTAGGTTGGAAATAAGGAAAAACTTTCTCATGAGGAGGGTAGCAAAGCACTGGAACAGGTTATCAAGAGAGGTGGTGGAGTCTCCATCCTTGGAGGTTTTGAAGACCTGGCTAGACAAAGCCCTGGCTGGGATGATCTAGTTGGGGCTGGACCTGTTCTGAGCAGGGGGTTGGACTTGATGTGACCTGTCAACCCTCATTTTCTATGATTTTGAGGAGTGCAAGTAAATAGCCTCTTTGTGCAGCTTGCTGCAGTCATCTCGGTGAGCAGAAGGGTTCCCAGGGCACCACTAACGACAGAGAAAGGGGTTTTTCTTTCTCATGCAGGACTTCAGCTAGAATTGACTGGGCCCAAAGCAGAGTCCACCCTGTAGCCCTACCTCATACCATGGTCCCACACAGGACTGGCTGTCACCGGTACCGTCCGTAGCTGCCCCATGCTCTCAGACCCTCGTCTCTCACTCCCCTGACCTCGTGTTTCCACCCACACCCTCCCAGCCACGCGTCCACGCTCATCCCTCCGTCTCCGACACCCACCCAAACACCAGGCTCCTCCAAACCCTGCTGGCCTGGTGCCCCCAGCCACCTTCCTCTTCTCCCTAAGGATAAATGTGGGGAGGCTGGGGGCACCTGGATCTTCAGGGCTTCAGTGGGGTTCAAAGAGGGGAGGAGTCCCTGGATGATATAAAAGCCTTAGAAAACTGTGTGTCTCTAAGGCAGTGACCGAGAAACCCGCCGAGACTCCCTCTCTTTCAGCAGCTGCATTCTGGAAAGAGCTAGCCCCTGAGGTCTTTCTGGCCCCTTTCCATGACAAAATTTAGGAGCACAGGGTGAGGCTTGGCACCGAAGGGTTAACCTGTTAGCCCCCTGCCAACCCCCCTCCTCACACCTTGGGTCTCTCCCTCCCAGCTCTGCCTTCGCTGAGATGCTGCAACCACAGCGGCGTGGGCTGCAGCCCATGGCCCTCCAGCACCCACCCACAAGGACTCCTTGCAGCTCCAAGACAGCTGAATAAGCACCCGATGGCCTGCTGCTCCTATGTCGGGGATCTCAGGGACGGGGGAAACTGGAAGAGCTTGTGGGAGGAGGAAGGGGATGCAGCATCGACCTTTCACCTGCAGCGCTGGAATCCAGCTGAAGGTCACAAGGGGCAAGCGCGGTGGGTGGTCTTGGCTCCCGCTCAAGTCTGTGCAATCCTGAGAAAGGCAGGAGTCTGCTCAGGACCTCACAGCACCAGGGCACGAGGACCGGCCTGAGAAGCCACGGCTAAAGAGGTGGAATTCACTTGAGTCTCGCCTGGCTGCGCCCCAGCGAGGAGCCAAACCAGCCCTGGCTGCAGCTGTGAAAGCTGGCAGCCGAACCTGGGAGCTTCACCTACCTCGCAGCCCCTGACCCCGGGTCCCAGAGCCTGGCTTCCACCCATGGTCAGACCCAAGACAACCCCAACAGCCAGCATGCAACCCCCTGCCAGGTTGTTTCCTTTCCTTGAAAGTACTCGGCACGGGCACCTTGAAGGCAGCATCTTGCAGCAGACCGACCCCAGTCCGGACAGCACTCAGCCATTCCCCTGGGCTGGCAAAAAGCCATCCAAAACCACAGACTTTGGTGGCTCCTTCAGAGGCTTCCCAGACAAGCATGAGGGATCTCTGGGGCTCCAATACCACTCTGACCTCCCCGGGCACCCATGGGTGGTAGAGATAGGAAGCAACTCTCAGTGCCCAATACACTGAGGCTGGGTGAATCGGGGGGGTTGTCTGGCACAGTGACACGTGTGCCTGGGTCTGGAGGACAAGGTTCCTTGGGTGAATTTGATATCTTTTATTAGACCAACAGTTATTAAACAAACTTTTGGGTTCAAAAACCCTTCGTCAGGGTCCG